TCCTGGATGAAAGTGGGAACACATTATGATGGATTTTTTTATGGGATTGCCGAGGACTGAACAACGACATGACACTATGTGGGTTATGGTGGATAAACTGATGAAGTCCGCACACTTTATACCGTTTCGTGCAACATATTCTAAAAAGGTCTTAGCAGAACTGTACCTTGAGTAGATCTTGAGACTCCATGGAGTTCCGTTGTTAATCACCTCAGACCGTGACACTCGTTTCAATGCAAAGTACTGGAGAAGTTTCCAAGAAGTCATAGGGACCGAATTGAATTTCAGTACTGCTTTTCATCCTCAGACTGACGGACAATCTGAAAGAGTCATTCAGATTCTGGAGGATATGCTTCATGCTTGCATTCTGGATTTCGGTAGAAACTGGAAGAAGTATATTCATGTAGCTGAATTCGCCAACAACAACAGCTATCAGGCTAGCATTGGAATGACACCATTCAAAGCATTATATGGCATAACTTGCAGATGACCAGCTTTTTAGCTCGAACTAGAGGATTGGCTTACTATTGGACTAGATGTCATCCAAGAAAACAACGAGAAAATAGTCGTTATTCGGGAACGATTGCTGACACCTCAGAGTCGTCAAAAAAGCTATGTTGACAGGAGGCGTAGACACTTAGAGTTCCAAGAAGGCGATTTTATTTTGTTAAGAGTTTCTCCACGCAAAGGAGTCACTCATTTCAGTGTGAAAGGGAAACTCGTGTCAAGATATATAGGCCCGTTTCAGATCACGTAATGAGTCGGTATCGTTGCCTACCGCCTCGACCTACCTCCATAATTGTCTCACGTGCACGACGTATTTCATATTTCAATGCTTCGCAAGTGTCAACCCGATTCGAAAGCCATTGTGCAATGGTATGATGTGCCGATCCATTGTGACACGACTTACGAGGAAGCTCCAGTTCAGATTCTCAATCAGAAAATGGAGAGTTTATGACGTCGCGAGATTTCGCTAGTGAAGGTGTTGTGACAACACCATGGCATTGAGGATGACGTCGCGAGATTCCGCTAGTGAAGGTGTTGTGGCAACACCATGGCATTGAGGAAGCAACGTGGGAACAAGAAGCAACAATGCAGGAATGATGTCCACATCTATTCTCATTTTAAGGTAAGCTTTAATTTTGAGGATGAAATTCCTTAAGGGGGTAGAGTTGTAACGACCTCAAGAATTAAATAGATTTAATTATGCTAATTGTGATTTATTAGTGTGCCTAATACTGATTTTATTAGTTAATCATGTCATTAAAAAAATTTCAATTCTAAGCTATTTCCAAAAATTTTATTTACTTTCAGTTTTAGAAATTTAAACCCAAAAGTTTTTGAAAATACACTTAACTTTAATGTATTTTCTTTTTCTTTCCCTTATTTTCTTTTTGTTTTGTTTTCTTGTTCCTTTTCTCTCTCTTCCTTTTCTTTTCTTTCCTTTTCTTTTTTTTCCTTTTTTCCCTTCCCTCTCGTGGCTGCTCTCTCTCTCTCTCTTCTCTTTCTTTTTCTTTTTCCATCTCTCTTTCCTCTGTTTCTTCTCCCACCACAGCTCTCCCTCCTGCTTCACCCACCACCGGCCATCTCTCTCTCCCTCTCCCGGAATTCTCTCTCTCCTCTCCCGTCCTTCTCTCTCTTCTCTCTCTCTCTCTCGGCTGTGCTTGGCCGAAGCACCCAAAGGAAAAATAAAAGAGGGAAAGCAGTTTTAGTCACTTTGAGGTAAAGATTTCTTGAAAACCCATACTTGAATTTGAGTTATTGATTTCAGAATTTTTAATTTTGGTTAAATTTGATAAATTTTGAGTTAGGGTTTGGATTTGAACAATTATTGTCGGAATTGAATTGAATTTAGGGGTTTTCAATTATTGGACTTGTTGAATTGATTGGAAACTAGTTTTGATGATTTCTGGAGAATTAATTTTGAAATTGAACTTAAATTACAAGTTTGTTATTTTCTCTATTTCTGCCGGCATGCTGCTGAAATTTCGTGAAAAACTTGCTTTTAAGCCGAAATTCAATGGGGAAGCCAAACCAATGAACTGGATTTCAATTTTAAAGAACCCCAAACTGAATTATAAAGTCATTTATGAAACTTGGATTGAGTTAAGGCACACTAATAGGAAGCAATTAAACATGATTGAGCTTGATTCCTTTTATGAATGAGAATTATATCCTAAAACATTACTTTTGTGATAAAGCTAGTGGAGAAGAGCAAGTATTAAAGCTTTAAGAAAAGCGGAGGCTAGGGTGCCGAGAAGTTAGCCACAGGTTTGATATCCGAGAGGTAGGATATCCTTACTCATATCCTTGTTAGCATGTTTTAATCTATTTTAGCCTATGTAAATGTTTTTAAAGACATGACATGTTTGATAAAAAAAAGTATTTTAAAACATTAGCTTGATTACTGCTATTGATCTCATTATGAACTGATGTAAAGTTTTAATGAATACTTACTTAAGATAAGATATATTGCGAGCTAGTAAGCCTGCTAATAACCTAGACAGGATATAGAGATCGTATCCTTGGGGGCAAAACCTAAAGTCCGGACGGGCCACTACGGTGGTGATAACGCCTTGCATTGGTCTTAAGTAATTTATCATTAAATTACTTGTTGGGTTCCTGAAATCTAGAATTTAAGTTTATTTACCTTTCAGTAAAAAGGTTATGTGGTTCTAAATGATTCTATCGGGCCTGTATTTTTATAATTTATTCAGTTTTTATAAATTCTATCCTACTGGGCCTTTCGCTCACTTTTCTTACGAATGTGATTTAACCGCACGCAGGT